GCATCATCTCCAAAATCTTATGCTACGGGGTCTTTAAGAAGTCATCAGGCCATAGGCAGAGGTTTGGCTTCGTGGATAGATTAAACCAGTCCTGGATCCATTACTAAGAGATGGACTAATTATCAAAATTGCAAAAGCCAGTTTGGGCATTTTTCACAGACACTATACAATCTTCTGTGCCATCTCGCAACTCTTCAGTCTCCACCAGCAAGAAGCTCTCCCCAGATGCCTGCATCCTGTGTTTGGACTTCCAAAGCCCCAGAGCCATGAGCCAAATACATCTCAGTTCTTTACAGATTGCTCAGCCCCACTGTCCTTCTATGCTGCCTAACCTCAAAGCTGGAAAGCTGTCTAGAATTTCTTGCTTTCTTTGCTCCCTCTTTAAACCCATCTTTAAAGCCTACTGATTCCTTCATATAATATTTCAATCACCATCGTGTCTGTCACCATCCCTCATTCAGTTTCCTCAACTTCGACAAAGACACCTACCACTCACACCATCAAAATAACCATTGCCTTGAATGCACGATTCCAATATAGCTATGATAGCCAAAACAGCTCATCTAAGAGAGGTTACTGGTTCAAGTAACTAAGGACAGTGAGAACAGCTCTGGGCTCAGGTATAATTGGACATTAGCCTCAAGCCTGCCATTGGCTTTCCTCTTCTGTTCCCAGGCTCTGATTATTTAAGTATATAGGTCTCTTTCTTGCTTGTTGCAAACATTTCTCCAAATGGTTTGTGTGGTAGATACGGGGGGGGGGTGCATTAGCCACACCGTGCCTCCAGAAAGTGCGATCTGCCCATGTGTGTTAACTCGGTCAACAGCCACTACCTGTGAGCTCCTTTAGACTATGCCTCAGTTGAAAATAACCCCTCATTCCTGGAGGCCATACATTACCAGAATGCTATACATGAGGTGACCAAGTAAGACACACCATTGAGCTTGGGACCATCCTGGATTATCATGAATCCCACTAACTCCCAGATTGGCTGAGCCTAGTCAGACCCCTGTCACAATTCAACTTCTCCATCGGCCTCATCATACAGGGAGGTTGATCCCAATTTTAACATCTGTACCCCAAATTCTATCACAGTGTGGACCTCCAGAGAACCTCACATGAAATAGTTGATTATATGATATGAGCGACTGGGACTTCATGGCACCCCAGATCTTGATTCCTGAAAACTGAAAACTCAGTTGTCTCTTTTAGCTCTGACTAGAATATTTCAAAAACGGATTCAAAATAGCCGTATTTGGTGTGCATTGAATTTGGGGGTTAATATCTAGGATGTAAGACCAGGGGACATTCCCAACAGAGCCATGTGGACTGAGTTTTAAACAGTCACCCAAAGGAGGAAATGTTTGTCTATAGCCCTCCCATCAGCAGAAGGCTCTTAGAAAATTCAGGTCTGATATTTTTTTTCTTTAAACATCACCAACTTTCCCAAATGCCTACAGCAGGATGTTTGGGGAGTTTTTGTTTTGTTTTGTTATCACACAAATTCTGTAAATCATTCACTTTGGATGATACATTACTTAAGAGTGTTTTCTGTCTCAAGTAATGAACATGTCTTGTCCATTTTGTTTTTGTTTGTTTGCTTTTGCTTTTTGCTTTTACTTTTGCAAAATGCCAAGGTTGCCTCTGGCCCAGTGACTCAAGAGCGCGGAGAAAGTCAACATCCTGGTGATATTCACAACTTTCCACTCCTGGTGGATGCCAGAGCTCACACTATCCCAGCCCAATTTAAACCAAGACATAATTCTTAAAAATACCCTATACTCAAAACCCACCTGACATTTGTGACGATTTACCATGATGAAATGAATCATAGGAAACCCCCGAATTTCAAGGGAATTGGCTGAAGAGGCAAGGTTGCCGTGCGGTCTCTATGGGAAAAGGGGGTTGGAATCTGAGCTAGAAAAGAGGCAAATTGGGGGCACGAGGGCACTAGAGACAGAAACATGGGCGTGGACTACCGGTTGCAGGAAGCAAAGAGACGTTTGAGGCGAGGCTATGAGAAGGAGGAGAGCAGAATATCAGAGACTGTGGGCGGAGCATGAGAGCTCAAAGCTAGATGACTGGACTTCCTTGAAGATATCTGAAGTGTAAAGGGGTAAGAACAAAGGAGTCAGTTTCCGTGGAACAGCGAATAGAGGCTAGACTCACAGACAGTAAGATACGGAGCAGTCAAAGTGATTCCGTCTGTCTTGACAGCTTTTAACAAGTACCTTCCGTAGAGTAGATGCTGGACAAATGGATGATAACCTGGCTTCCAAGTCAACACAGTCTCCCTGACCCTTCTGTCAAATGAACTCCAGATGCCTAAGCCCATCATGCTCAAAAGTCAAACTACAACTGCTTGGCCATGAGCACTTCCTTGCTCTTTTAGGGTCTCTGGCATTCAGTTACCTCAGCCAGGAATCCAGTAGCAAACATGAGTGTCTACATCCTATCATTATAAGACCCTGCTTTCTTTATGATGCAGAGATGTATAATTTCTTACTAGGATAGCCATAGTTGGCTTTGAAATCACTTCCTCATATCAAAATTGTATTCTTCTTAAAGCTTTTGAATTATTTTTTTTCAAAAGTTTCAAGAGAGGGAGGTGTGGGGCACAACTTTAATCCCAGAAGGCAAAGTCAGGAGGATCTCTGAGTTTGAGACCATGGAGTGATACCTAAATAATGAATTCCAGGATTGTCTGGGCTACATAGAGAGAACTCTGACTCAAAAATGTCTAAAATTTATTAATTTTGTTAGTCCCATTCTATAAATCCAAGGAAAAACAAATGAATAAAAGTAATTCTTCTTTATACTAAAACATAAATAAAACAGAATTTGCCCTTCATATCTTTGATGTGGTCATATATATAGCTAGTCATTCATAGGATTATTTTTACTGGTGACTATTCCTTCAAAACAAAATAGGTCCACATCTCCTTCATACTAGTTTAAAGATGCCTAAAGTTGCAGACCCTCACAACTGGCCAAAATACAGAAATTAAATGTGTGTGTGTGTGTGTGTGTGTGTGTGTGTGTGTCTTGCCCCATACTGTAGGGCTCAGGGACTATCGTGGAAGAGGAAGAGGGGCAGAAAAGATTGTAAGAGCCAGACGTCAGGGAGAACCAATGCACAGCAGTGTCTTCTGCACATGACAGGACTGGCGTCAAAAACTCAGCAGCTGTTGTTGCCTGCACAAAGTCTGCACATAATCAGGACAGCCAGCATTCTAGCTGGGGGGAAGAGGGGCTCATGAATCCCTAGCTGAGGATCTCTTGATAGTTGGTGGTTGGTTCTGGGGGAGTGAGAATCAGTTTTCATTAAGGGTGTGAACCCCAGTAGGTTGACGTACTCCAGTGGATAGCTGTACATCTGGAAGTATGTGGGTAGTACGAATTGGACTCAGTGTATTACAAAAATAAATAAATAAACAAACCCTTTTTTCCCCCAAAGGACACAAAATTGGAAAAGAATGGAGCAATGAGGGGTGGATCTGGAAAGAGTTAGGTAGAGGATTGTAAATGAATATGATTGTGGTATATATGTATGAAATTCTCAAAGGATTAGCAAAAATTTATTTTAATAAAAGATTTAATTGGTTAGACACTGAAGCTAATGTCTAACCCAGTGATACAGTTACTAACTTAAGAGTTATGTTTTAATTGTCTTGTTACTTTTGCTCCTGTGGTAGCTATCAGTTATTACTTATCATACATATTTTGTTGCCTGTAAGTGAGATTCTTAATGTTGATAGGGAAGACTCTGGTTGTACTATCAATAGTAGTATTCTACCTAAAGCAAGAATCAATGTCAAATACAAGAAATATGCTTTCTTTCTTTTTCTTCCTTCCTTCCTTTTTTCCTTTCTTTCTTTCTTCCTTCCTTCCTTCCTTCCTTCCTTCCTTCCTTCCTTCCTTCCTTCCCTCCCTCCTTCCAATAGGATCTCACTACACAGGCCAGCCTGGCCTTGAACTCATAGATTATCCCCTTGCCACAGCCACTGAAGCACTGGAATTGTAGGCATGAACCACCACTCAGAAAATACTAGTTTCCTGACGAAATGCATGGATGGTTACAATAGCAACCAAAGTAGTGCGTTGTAAAGTAAGAGCTGACGTTTGTTGCGATCGTATTACGAACCAGTGCAGGAATGCAAACTATGTGCTTAATGTACCATCTCTCACCACTCTGAGAGTGAAGACTGTGCTGTTCCTATCCTTGACAGATGAGGAGATACACTTTGGTAAATCTGCTCCTTTTCCTAGGAAGGGTTCTGGTAATTTGTCTATTTGATTTCCTACTCTTAATGAACTTGATATTAAGTGAACACTTTATGAAAACCTGGACAAATCCTCAAAATATTAGAAAGTGTGCATTTTGACTCCTTGAACAATATCCAGGTTTCAACAGGAAGTTTAAATGGCGCAAAGAGGGAAGTTGCATGGCATCTCAGAATTTCTCAGTCCTGCAGCCTTCTAGTCTCTGGAACGGCCTATACGGAGGAATCCTTAGTAATAAACTCTTCATAGCTAAGAGGATCACAAATTATTTCTTTCTGGAGATAGTGTTTTAAATTACTGGACAGTAGGCAAGAAACTAGTGTTAATGTTAAAGGCACCATGAACTCAATTTTGAAAAATGAGTTCTCGCCGTGCTGAGTTTATATATTTTTTTTAATTTTGTTCTCATGTTGAAGCAGATGTATACAATCTTGAAGGGCACATAAATAGAAGGCCCACTTTTATTCTGACATAAATCACGTGGAGACTAGCTTGTTTTCTTGAGAGTGGAGATGGAAGTCTGGGAGGCCTTGGCATCCTTTTGCATAAATAGGCAATTGTCCCTGAATTGTTTCATTTTAAAGGGGGTGGGGCTATGTGAAGCTGTATGAAGCTAGACTGAGATGTTTTTCTAATATGAAAAGTGAGGCCTTGAGAATTTTTAAAAGAGGGACTGTGTTCTATATCTGTGTGATGTGTTATAAAAATGCCCGCAGAGAGAAGCACTGAGACAGCAAGTCCAATGCCTGCCCTTTTAAAGCCCTGCTCACAAGGCTGCCGCTGGATGTCTAGGAACTTGTGTCTGAAGAGCACTCCCACCATCCCTAGAACCAGTAAGTGTTTCGCTGTGCCTCAACTGTGCAGACAGTGTGGTTTCATCCTCCACATCTGCGTTCCTCCTGGGAGTCTGGAATTCAGAAGCTAGGCAGAGAGGAATTGCATCAGCCAACCCTAGATTAAAACCAAAGTCCTGGGCACTGTCTCTCTAATGTACTGCCCTGGCTGACTACTGCTAGCAAGAACTGACTGACTCATTGAGAATGGACTGAAGCCTGTTGTGGGCAATGCCTCCAGGAAAGGGCATTTGGAGTCTTTACCTGATTTCCCAAAGACACCAGGAGCCTTTTGCCTTGACTGCTGTGTTTTCTATCTTTCTGTGCAATTACTCAGGGCCATGAGTACAACTACCCACTGAGTCTTTTGTGCCACAAACAAGTCACCAAGCTTAGCCAGACACAGTTTCCACATCTGCAATCCAAGCACTTAGAACACAGAAAGAGGCAATTGTAGGACATTCCAGGACAGTTGGGTCTTCGTAATGAGTTCCAGGCTAGCCAGGGGTGTACAGGGAGAGTCTGTGTCAAAGATAAATGGCAAGCTCAGAAAGGCTGGGGAGGTTGCTCAGTCGGGAAAGTGCCTGTCGTCAGAGCACAAGGACCTTGGTTTCCATCCCCAGTGCCCATATAAAAGACTAGGCACTGTGCTGCATGCCCTGTATACTAGCACTGTGGAGTCAGAGACAAGAGGGTCCCTGGAGCTTGTTGCCACAATATTCACTATCACTAAAATTTTCCAGTTATTGCATATCTATTATGTCTTTAATTGGTGTCTTTATTAGGCAGGCTTCTCTAAAGAAACAGAACTAGTAGGACGAGTATTTTTTATGAAAGCATATTTAGGAGATGGCACCTTCAAGCAGTAATTCTCAACTTCCTAAAGTTGCAACTGTAGTGGCATTTCATTTGTATTTTAATAAGTAACGTTTGCCTGAAGATCAGAGAGTAAAACAGCCCCACTGGTCAGCCTTACAGACCAGGCAGAGGGAACACACACCTTTCATTCCAGGAGCCACACTAGTTGCCAAGGAAACCAGGCAGTGCACGCCTTTAATGCCAGTGGTACACACCTTTAATCACAACCCTATAAAGAATTATAAAACAGGAGTAGATAGTTCACAGTCTCATTCTGAGATTCCTGGAGGCAGGATCACCATTTTCAGACTGAAGTCGAAGTAAGAGCCCATGGCTGGCTGTTTTAGTTTTCTGCTCTTCAGGTTGAACCCCAATATTTGTCTCTGAGTTTTTATTAATCATGCTTCATGTGACCCTTTAATACATTTCCTCATGCTGTAGTAACCCCCATCCATAAAATTATTTTGTGGCTACTTCATGACTATAAATTTGTCACTGTTATGAATCATAATGTAAATATCTGGTAAGCAGGCTATCTGATATATGACCTTGCAAAGGCCTAGAGACCCACAGGCTGAGAACAGCTGGATTACAAGATAAAGGATGGAGAGTTTAGCAGTGACCATATGCATGTTGGATAGGAGATGACCCCGTAGCTGTTCAGCCCATGATGCTGGATCCCCCAACAGTCCCAATCTCAGGCTGAGGGTTTACAGAACGTTCAGAGAGTTGCCATTCTTCAGCCCACACTGTAAGACCAAACAAGTTGGGACTTGGTGTCAGTAACGAATAATAGCACCAGTAGCAACAGGGTATCCACACTCAAGCAAGCAGTACAGCTTTTTTTAAAAAATGTCTTTCTATCTATCCCCAACCACCTGGAGGATCTTGGGGAGACTCCAGGCATGCAGGAAGACGTGATATAGACAGCAGTGAACATGGGGTTCTCTCTCTGTGTGGCTACTCATACAAAGTGGTGCCCTTGTTGGCTAATAGTGGTTTCCTGGGCTCAGGTTTCCTCTGGCTAGGTTTCTTAGTTGTATAAAATCAAAGGCCTCTGGCACCACTAGTAACAGCAATGATGAAATGGCTGAAATTCTTGTTTCCCAGTCAGGTGGTGGTACAGACCCAGAATCAGTATGGCAAACGAGGTTGCAAGAAGCATAGTGCCCTAGTAGCCACTCTGTGCACTTGCATGGTCAGAAAACTAGACGGGGTGGCCGGCAACAGGAACCACACAGACTGGGTGTCAGAACTGTGGTGTCCCTCTCTGTCTGAATGTGAGGCCTTCCAGTGCTGTGTCACGGTGCAGATCCAGGCCATATATCTAGTATTTGCACGGGAGCAGAATATGGCTAGTGCTGGTTCATTTCCTGTGGGGGCTTGCTTTGGCTGTGAGCACCCTGGGTGAGGGGATAGCCAGAGCCCCAACATTGTTCAAGGTCCCACCAAATGACCACTTGTTCCATCACAAGAGCAGAACCTCTGCATCCCCTCCTCGCCTCAGCAACAGGTGCCTGGGCATGAGAAGGGGAAGGGAAAGTAGAAGCCATGTGGGTATCTCCGTTTAGTTCTGGCACTGAGAGGAAACACACAGGCGGCTAATCATTTTCCTGGTCTCCTGATTCCATTGTGTGATGTCCTCTGCTCTCTCCCTTGCCACCACATCACTGCTCTGTACTCAACATGTTTCTGTCAGAGTCACTCAGCTGAGCCAAGGATTCATTGGACTGTCTGTGGAGTCTCTTATGTGGGTTTCTGACATGGGATAGCCCTAAGTTAGACAGGAGCTCATGTTTGAAAAGTAACAGGAATTCCTTTCCCATAGACAGGCCACCTTGCAGACGCCAGGGTATTCATCTAAGAGGGCTGCCACCTTGTGAGAGCTGAGAGTTTCCAGAATTCAGGCTTGCCTAAATCCGTGCTGATAAAGTTTGTAAGAACTCTCATCTTTCCTCCTACAAAGGCGAGAGTCCCTCCCCCAGTGTGTCTCAGCAGAGAGGATGATGCTGGGATAGTCCATTTGTCTTACTAAGTCTCCCATTGTCCTGTACTCCTAAACTGTACCAGGCTCCAATCTCTGGGCTACTGTTTCGGTGTTGGCCACAACCACTCATTGCCAAATGCCGCTGTACACCTGGCTCATCATTATAAAGGCAGAGTGCCTCTTTTTCATCATCCTGGGAAGTTCAGATTCATTACCTAAATTGTTCCCCTTTAGCTAGGGAGCGTTAAAATAAACGGTGGAGAAGAGAAAAAAAAAACTGGTGTAAGGGGGATAAGACTGGAATCTCTGATTACATATGAAGGGTGAAACTGATCGATGGAATTACCTTATCTGGAAATATCCCCATTTTCCATCCAAATGGATCCGTGGAAGCCAGCCACGGTGCACCCTCTGTCATGAGTTTGCGTGGCTCAGAGGAACACACTCTCACAGTGAGGAACTGTGCATATATGGGGGGGTGAAATATGATGGAAATGAGCCAAGACAGTGAATTACACACATGTTTGACTTTGAAGCTGCTCCTGGCAAGCTGTAAATTATGAGAGCCATTTATAAGAGAGCTTGTAATTGCTAGAGGAATTTCTGCGTTAATCATCAGGAGACAGATCCAATTTAAAAATTAAAAAAAAAGCTCCAGCTTATGAAAGGTCTCCCTCCCTTTCCCAAATCAATTATTGGTTATTCTCTGTTGATGATTGAGGGATAATAGTAACTTAGTTAGCTATTTTTCCATGTAAGAAAATCACATTGAGTCAAGTGTGATGTAGCTCACACCTTTAATCCCCATTGCTCAGGAGACAGAGGCAAGAAAATCTCTGTGACTTACTTTGAGGTAAGCCTGGTCTACATAGTGAGTTCCCACCCATCCAAACCTACATCATGGGACCCTATCTCCAAAATAAATAAAAGTAGAAAAAGGAAGATATAAGTACACATAGCTTCGATACAAGTACACCCATGCAGACTATTCAGAAAATCTGCGTTTCCAGCTGGAGAAGATCACTGGCTGGTCTTCCAGAGGACCCAGGTTTGATTCCTAGCACCCATATGGCAGCTTACAATTGTGTAACTCCAGCTCCATGTAACTCCACTGTCTATAACTGAATTCCAATACCCTCACACATACATGCAAAACACCAGTGCACATAAGTAAGAAGGAAGAAGAAAAGAAGGAAGGAAAAAAGGAAGGAAGGAAGGAAGGAAGGAAGGAAGGAAGGAAGGAAGGAAGGAAGGAAGGAAGGAAGGAGCGGAGCTTGCTCCTTCAGTTCAAATGCAGTGACAATATGTTTAGCTGTTATTTAAAAAGATTAGTATCTACTTTAAAACACACAATCTTTTGCTTTATGATTATTATATTAGGCTAAAAGGTTCCACGATGAAAATCAGAAAAGATGACTTGTGTTTGTAAGACACGCCGCCCTGCTTGCTTCAAACCACATGAAGAATAAACCCTAACACCAGCTGGAAAGCAAACTGTGAGTCTTTAAAAAACAAATCCTCCGCTAGACATGTTATTTTCTATTCTTTCTAGTTACACATACAAAACTAGGTTTCTGAGAAGACAACCGAAAGAAAGGTGCCTCGTGTTGCTGAAAGATACAGGGTTGGGGCTAATTAAAATCCACTGGAAGCCTTCTCGTCTAGTCTCCTCATGCTTTGCTCCCTGTAGGCTTGCTCTCCCACCACTCGGGGTCATTCTTTGCTTTTAGTTCTTTTTTAAAAAAATATTTCTGTTTATTTTATTTTAATTACGTGTATGTGTGTGTGAACGTGTACACATGAGTGCAGCTATCCTCAAAGGTCAGAGGTAGCAGATATCCTGAAACTAGAGTTACAGGCTAATGTGAACACCGGACCTGAGAGCTGGGAAACCAACTCAAGTTCTAACTCCTAACGAGCAGCAAGTGCTCTTAACCACTGAACCATCTCTGCCACCTCAATTCTTTGGTTCTTTACTTCACTACCTCAGTGCTAACAGTTCTGAGTAGAACATCCAGGTTGCTGAACCTAGCTTATAAATCTAGACTCTTCATTTCAGATAATGGCAACAGAAGATGATTTAAAAAGAAAAAAGAAACAAAATTTTCAATGAGGTTTATCAAAATAGAATCACACTGTCACCATAAATTATGATAATCAACTGCGCGACAGCTGTACTGGCTGGTTTTGTGTGTCCACTTGACACAAGCTAGAGTCATCAGAGGGGAAGGAGCCTCCATTGAGGAAATGTCTCCATGAGATCCAGCTGTAAGGCCTTTTTCTCGATTAGTGATCAATGGGAAGGGCCCAGGCCAAGGTGGGTGTTGCCCTCCCTGGACTGGTGGGCCTGGTTCTATAAGAAAGCAGGCTGAGCAAACATGGGGAGCAAGCCAGTAAGTAGCACCCCTCCACGGCCTCTGCATCAGCTCCTGCCTTCAGGATCCTTCTCTCTTTGAGCTCCTGTTCTGACTTCCTTCAGTGATGAACAGCAATGTGGAATTGTAAGCCAAATAAACCCTTTCCTCCCTAAGTTGCTTTTTGGTGTTTCATCACAGCAATAAAAACCCTAAGACAATGACATACTTAATAAGTTTAAGTATAGTTTTAAGGATACTAGGCTAAGTTTTCTTTGCCCGTTACAGATATGTAAAATAAAAATGGAAAGCCATTAAACACATGTATTTACCCAGTTTTCTTTTTCTATAGCCATACTTATTTTTAAATTTTTGTACATGTTGTCATTGTGCCGGCATGTGTGTCTGTGCATCACATTCGTGCCAGGCATCTGCGAAGGAAAGAAGAGCAATATGAGATCCCTTAGAATTGGGTGGTTGTGAGACTCCCTGAGCATGGTGGGAATCAAATCTAGGTCTTCTGCAAGAGCTGTAAGCACTCTTAACCACTGAGTCATCTCTCCAACCCTATTTAAGCAGCTTTCAAATGATCTTTGCTATCAAAAAAATTTCTGAACTAGTAAGAAATCATATATAAACTTAATATAATAGATAAGACAATTACCACTGATTAGATCAGAGAGATTACACATTCTTAGTGTCTACAAAAATTACGACCCTATCCCCCCCTAAAGATAGACATTACCTAATTAATGTGCTCTCATATTTTATTCAAGACGTCTGGTATAACTAGAATGTTCTGAGACATTTGAGCAAAGCAGAAGTGTGACCTATCATCAAGAAAAACATTACAAAAACAACCATTAAACCACTAAAATTTTATTGCGTCTTATATCTGACCACTAGCATTATACAAAAATGTTAAATAATATTATTGTCCCCATTGTAATCAACGCTTTACAATATCCAATTGTTGCTCTTCTTGGACTAGACTTAGTGTGTCATTTTCCTAAACAAAAACAATTTCTAGAATTTATTTCCATCTTCTAGTTAAAGCATTTTAAGTGTTTAAACCCTTAGCCTATCCACAGTTGTCAGATATTATTTTCAATGTTTTATTAATTCTTCAAAAATAATTCCAGGACAGGACCCACCGTGCCTCCCATCGTGATGATAATGGACTAACTTCTGAACTATAAACCACCCCCAATGAAATATTTTCCTATATAGAGCTGTCATGCCCTGGTGTCTCATCACAGCAATAAAAGCTTAACTAAGACATCCATTATGCACTTAACGCGCTTGAGGAAAAACCCATGTTTTAAGTGTTCTCTACTAACGTCTAAGGGTACCTATGTGCCACAGACTTTGGCCTACCTAGTCATCACTTCTTATCAAACGATAAATGCAATTGAAGGGTGTTTCCAGTCTCAGAGGAGGCCATTGTCCTAGGCGTCTAGTCATCCCTTTCTCTAGGAAGCTTCTTCTATTCAACTTGTTTGGGTCCCATAAGATCACAGTTCGGATGTTGGTTGGGAACTATTCAACTGTAAAAGATAACAGCAACAACGATAAAACGTTTGCTACAGATAGTTACATTTTTCTCACAAAATAAGGTGTGGAATTACACTCAGGAAAGCTGCTCTAGAGAATAACAAGGACCCAGGCTCAGCACCCTAATCTGCTCAAAGAAAGTAGGAGCTTACTCTCACCTGGCAAAATGATTACAAGTTAACACCTGTTCCTGAGGAATCTGAAAAATCCTCAAGCAAAAACCAAGGGGACAAACCACGGGACAAAAGGCTGAGTCAAACAATTTCACTCCTTTTTATATAGAAGTAAATAAAATAAAAAGTTTGTTTCATGTGTACTAGAGTTTTGTACTAGAGTACACATTCATGTATGTATGTGTACAACATGTGTGCTGGAGAGGTCAGAACAGGATTTCAAATGCCCTGGAACTGAAATCACATATGGTTGTGAGCTGGCATATGAATGCTATGAACCCAAACCCAGGTCTTCTGCAGGACAACACATTGCTTTTATCTGCTCAGCCATCCCTCCAGCCTTAATGTAAGTTTACTTTAAGGAACTCACAAATAAAACATCACACTGAGAGATTACGGAAGCCACTCAAACACCTACCCTGTCTTAAACTCTATGCATAGCTGTGAAGTTCTGTAGTGTTAGGCTTTTCTGGAACCATGAGACTTTACTTAGTGGTTTATATCTTGTTTTTATCAATTACATTTTTTCTGAACTTAACCACCACAGATAAAAAATGAAAAAGAGAAAAACTATAATAGAGTCTTCAAAATTGAAAAAAAATAAAAAGCTCTGTATCTTTTTCACAATTTGTGTCCCTTTGCCTGCCCCCCCCATTCCCCTCCCCTGTTTTTTGATTCTGCTAACAACAATCACATAAAAGTGCTACTCTTGGCCAGGCAGTGGTGGCGCACGCCTTTAATCCCAGCACTCGGGAGGCAGAGGCAGGTGGATCTCTGTGAGTTCTAGGCCAGCTTGGTCTACAGAGCTAGTTCCAGGACAGGAACCAAAAGCTAAGGAGAAACCCTGTCTCAAAAAA